TTTAAATATGGTACAAATAGTATAAAGGGTGTAACAAAATTGTTGGAGGACCCGGAAATGGGAGACTCGTGAGGTGATTTGGAACAACTTTTTCCTTAACAAAAATGTTATCCGAGGCTTCGTTAACGAGTTATTAACGAAAAACTCCGACCAATCACAGGGCGTGTCTGCCAGCCGAGTTCCCGCGGTAACATTGGCTACCAATCGCAGCGCGTATCGCATCGCGCTCTGATTGGTCGGGGTTTTTCGTTAATATCTCGTTAACACAGCCTCGGATAACATTTTCGCTAAGGAAAAACTTGTTTCAAATCACCTCACGAGTCTCAAATTTCCGGGTCCTCCAACATTTTTGTTACACCCTCTATAAAAGTCTCGGTAGCGTTAGTGTTAATTACACAATCCTGAAACGGTCTATGCGCATTTCACCCGACCTCGACGAATAAAGGAAAACAAACCGTGTCGGGACGAAGAATAACAATCATTAATCCGCGAACGAAGTTGCCATTAGTCGAAAATTCGGTGAAAACACGCGACGCTTTATTTCCTCCCCGAGTGGGCGCTGGTTTCGTTGTGCTCCGGCTGACCTACTCCCGTTCCTTTTTTCTCTCTCTCCTCTAATTATGAATGAAAACTTCGGCAAGTGTTGCGACGGGGGATGAAATAGGGGTTGGGGGGGAGGGCACACACCAGGGAACGAACTCTTTGCGGCCTCCTCTCTTCTTTCATCCGTGTCGCGCCGACTCGGCTAGTAGTACTTTTAGTTTTCCTACCTAACCTTCCACCCACGCCCCCCTTCACCCCCCAGGAAAACTCTCTTTCTACCAAGAGGGGTGTGGGGGGCGGGGAAACCCCATTATCGTAAAGTTTGACGTTCGTTGTCGCGGCGACGAGCGTGCCGTTTTGCCGTAGACAGTTCGTTTTCATTTTATTTCGTCGGATGAAACGGGGCCGGCTTAAAACTCTCGTATATAGGTGCGTGAGCGAACGCGGGGGAGGAAAGAATGTTTCGCGACATTTATCCATTGTCGTCGCGGGGACGGGTTTTCTGTTATTCCACGCTGGAAAGACTTGCGAAGAGTTTTATCAGATTGTATGGGGAATTCGATGGGAAAGTGGGTCGTGGATCACCATTGCAAAACGTTTTGATATGGGTGATTCCTTGAATTCATTTTTCGGAGCACATAATATAACAAACATAATATCTCCAGTTACGAATCCTTAGTTTAACCTTACCAGCTGAAGTAATTGTCAAATAATCATTCGAAACTCGATTGAGAAGAAGACGAAGTCATTATTAATTGGGTTAGAATAACTTTACAATTTGGAAAATAAACATTCAAAGTGGACATATAGTTCTCACTGTTGAGGATTATAAGCCTTATGGAATTATTTTCCCAACATTTTGCAAGCATTGCTACTGACTTCACGAGGCAGTCGAAAGACGTACTGACACTGTCGTATTTTAATTGATTTAGAAAGAACGAGGCGTGACAATGAAGTTTCGAGAATAATCCCATTCAACAGTTACAAAATTATTCTCGAAACTTTATTGTCACAGCTTGTTCTCTCTAAACAATCAAAATACAACACAATCAGATCCATCAAACAGTTATTGACTAATGTTAATAAATTGCCGAAGATGAAAATCCATCTTCTAATTTTCCTATACAATGAAGACCTATATCGTCCTCTGCTATTAATTCGACTAATACCACCAATGTTCGATATTTCCACACATACAGTACAAAGTTAATCAAATTGTTTCAAAGAACGCAGAAAACACAGAGCTTAAAAGAAAATAGACGCACAGATCCTCGCCGAAGGCACATCGTTCTTTGATCGAAGGACGAACGGTTACAGGAGCGATTCTTCCGCGAAACTGGTTGTAGGGGCAGGGCCGTGCCTCGAATCAAACGTGAATTCATATAAGCCGCTTATTAAAAGCAAGTGCATCGCCTCGGCTTCCGCCGCGTCCCGACCCCCGTTAATATGCTTCGCGGGACGTCATACAAGAGGGCGCGCGCCCGCGGAGCACGCGTTTAATTATGGAACGGCTATCATTTCCACGAGCCCTCAAGACGACCGGGAGGAAAATCGCCGGGGCGTCGTTTCCCATTATACGGCTTAAGGTGAAGTGTACCTACGGGGGTTTGTTCCCTGTCTGCTCCCTAACGAACCGCGCCACCGCTGCTGCGACCCCTCCCCCCCCCTTGCGGAAACAACGCACGTTGCCGTCGCGCAAATTAGCTGTCTCCGATCAACTATCCTTCTGTTCGATGCACGATACTGATTCCGTGAATATTTTTCGCGAGATTGCTCGTACGAGCGATACAGTAAATCCTCGATGAGTGTTCGAAGACACTGAATATTAAATATTTCATAAACTAATGGCCGTATGCGGCTTAAACAAATGTCATTGGCTTCACACGTTCAAACTCTAGGACTGTGCTAAACTTCATTTATTAAAAAATATGCTTTGATGGACGTTGCTACACATGTAATATCTACACATAGGGAAAGATTGCTGAATTTGGACCATCGCCTAGGTTGGTCCACTAAGAATTTGTCATGTGTAAGCAATTACATAAATGACTTGTTAATGCAGTCACTACTGTCATACACATATTCCCTATCATACGGCGTAAATTGCTTACATATGAGACGTTACAGTTGTGGTCTAATCTAGAACCCCTTTTTCCCCTGTGACACAAATGGTGAACCACTCCCTGAACTCAAGAAACTGTAGACAATTGCACGAGTTCATGAAAAGTAAGGGCGTTTTTTTTATAATAAAAAATAAGAATAACAATATGTGGCTTGATGTGATTTTTTTTTTATCACAGAATCTACTGATACAAAGAAGAACAAGAATCATCGACACGATTTTGTACAGTCGCCTTGGAAAGTAAGTTAAAGCTCCTGAATGTTGAATTTAGGAAGAATGATGAACTTGTTTGAATTTAGGAATAATGATAAATTTATTTGAATTTAGGAAGATCGATAAATGTCGTATTGCTATGAGACGAAACGTTCTTGTGTTCCTTGTTTCATTTATTGGAGATTCATTAGTGCGTTTAGTATTCATTTTAACAGCGTCTTGGCAAATATATAATATTAAATATAGTTGGTTATTAACTTATTTTCCATGACGACTGTATGTAGGTCCACATAAAGTTCAGACATTTCGTTACACCTTGCGTACTTGTGTAAAATCAGAAAATATATTTATAATAAAGTTATGAAACAGTTTCGTGTAATATTTTTCAAGATTTTATGAATAATCTATGAAACAGAATTCCTTTGTCATGTTCAAACGATAGCTATCTACTATTGATCAGGGTCATGAGATTTAATGAATTTGATACTGTGCTTTGTGGTCATCACAGACCCTCCCCAAAAACTTGAAATATAAATTATATTGTTTTATAATGGTCGCCAAAATGACTTTTCTCCACTTAGACCGGCGATTATTTTTTCGACCACTTTGAATTATTTTCTCGCATTTAAAAGGCACCTGATTGACTAATTAGCGAAGTTATTTGAATCTCTGTAATTGAATGGAGACGACTGTGGTCATTTGAAACCTTGAAAAAACTTGAAATATAAATAAGAATGTTTTATAATGGTCGCCAAAATGACTTTTGTCTACTTAGATCGGCGATTATTTTTTCGACCACTTTGAATTATTTTCTCGCATTTAAAAGGCACCTGATTGACTAATTAGCGAAGTTATTTGAACCTCTGTAATAGAATGGAGACGACTGTGGTCATCTTAAACCTTTTCCAACAATTTGAAATATAAATGATAATCTTTCATGATGGCAAAATGATTTCCGTCCAGCTAAATCGTCTTTTCTCGACCACTTTGTAATCGCTTGCCTGCCTTTAAATGGCGCCTCATCGTCTAATTAGCAAAGTTATCGGAATCTCAGTAATAGACCGGAGCCGAATGAGCGTCAAGGCCCAAGAATTCGCTGTTATTACGCCGGGGATCGCGTCGCGTTAAAATCTTACCCGGCGTCCGGGAACCATTGGGGGTTGAATATTTTACGAGCGTGTCGTAGGGAGGAGGCTCTGAACAAACCTGAAACCCAGTTTAACACGACGACCAGCAAAGTTTAAAACTATCGTCGTTAGATTCGAATTAATAGAATCGTTCGTTTCCTGTTTTTCGTTCAAACGATCGGAGAAAAATAGACGTTCGAAAATCCAAACTGGGATATCCATAGTGCATTTTGGGCAAGTTGAATCTTGTGAATTAATTAGACCCTGGTTATTTTTGAGGGATTGGGAGCTCGGTCGAGCGGCAGCTGGATGAACAGGCAACAGTGGCGTTGAATTAATGAGGAATTTTCGAATTCGATTGTTTTTGATTCTTTGGGGTCAGGGAGGATTTTGGAGAGGTCGTTGTAATGGCAATTGAATACTAACTTCATGATTCTCTTATTCTTCAACACCTTTTGTTGGGTCGAAAATGGTGCTCAAGGTGAATAACATGCAGAAATAATAGGATAAATTACGATTCGACTTGCTCGAACATTCTTGGTAGAATTCTTCACCATTTCGTTGATATTATATAATGATTTATATCAACGAAATGGTAATATCCACTACATGAAAATCGGTCGAATGATAATAAAGAAAATTGTTAACGTGACAAGTAGACTGCAGATTTTAATGTAAATTCAGATTTTATGCAGACTAAGATAATAAGAGAAACACTCAACTAAAATTGTCTGAAGTAGTCTTCTATGTTTCATTCAGCAGTATTACACGATACATGCATAAAATCCACAGTCTAGAGGTGATATTCTGCTTATAGTATCTTCGAGAATTAATAATTCGCAATTATAGAAACGTCGTTCGAAAATACAATAAGCTGAACCGATCCATTATCCCGTAAAGACGTTCAGCCACGCTCGACAGTAATCGATCCTACGGAAATCGAATATCGTCTCCCGTCGCGTAACCGTGATTTTAAACAAGAGAAGCTTACTTACGTCGATTAATAACGTTCCTAGCGATGATTCCATCGATTCACCGATCGAAGAGTCGTTCCTGGGATCGAGATTCGTCAAAAGTGGTCCGCCAATCGATTTAATTAGCCGTGCAGATCTGTAAAACGGGAAGCAGCACGATGAGAATGGTTAACGACGTTATCCGACCCTTCTGACGATAGTCGATAAACGAGAATCACCTCCGTCTAATTCCCATTTTCACCCACAACCCACCCTCGATTGCTTGTTCGCGGGAATTTCAGAAGAAGTCGGAAATTGCGTATTTCGTGGCGAGGGAACGGTGGGTGAAAGAAACATCCTCTCTACTATTCTATACTCGCTTTCGCTTAAGCTTCATAACACTTCAAAGAGATATGTGTATACTTGCGTTTAGTTCAATCGCTCCTTTTCATGAGCTTTACGATACACTATTCCCTTCAATGATGGAAAATTGGGCTCTGAACTTTATGCGTTCATAGCAATTAGTAGATAGTCAATAATTAGTAAAATAGTGTATTGTTTGAATAATAGAATTATAGTTTGTTTCATAGGAAAATATAATATTAAATTGTTAAAGCCCTGTTTGTAAGGAAGAATAGACAAATTAACTTTTTAATGCTTCACTGCGTTGCTTAAGTATTCTTCTAACACTAAGATTATCTACCTAAGCAGTCGAAATGACGGATTCCATGAACTATTGTAAAAGTGAATCAATTGTTGGAACAGTGCAAATTATAAGATTTTTTTGCAACTTCTATTACGATATATAGATTAAATATCAGATATAATTAGGACTATCGAACTCGACAAAATAACGGATTTCAGATATTTTATTTACAATTACTGGAATCCTAAAGATATTTTTATCGGAATTTACATTACCCTTTAATTTAAAACACATTCAACGCTGGTAGTTGTAGTGTTAATGAATATTTAAATTATTCAATTCAACCAGGCAATCGATAAATTAAAAATTCCATGTATTTAAACCATACATGTACCTACTTTCTAAAAAACGATCGCATAAAATTATTGTTACTAAGGTTTAGTAAATATCGCATTTTATTTCTATAAAAATATCCCACTTTAGTTATTATCAAATAAGTCATTAACCTTCACCAGGTTAGAATAGAGAAGAGCCTCAAAGTCTCTCAGTACAGAATAGCTGATACCAATAATTCTAAAACATTTTACTTCTTTTAATTCACTGTATTTATTTCGCGAAATAGTAAAGTTAAAATTTCTATTATTTATGATATATACATTATTATATTGTGCATTATGAATCAATAAAAACGATGCAAATATCTAGACCCGTTTCCAATCCTTTTACCAAAACCCTAGAAAGTATCCTATACATAGAACCACCCCTAGCGACCCAAGTGAACCAAAAAAATTATTTCTCCCAATAATCGCCACACACGTAACAACGCTAAGGTCAAAATCAACCCAGACACCATCACCAGTCAAGCACCCAGAACCGTCAAGTTATCAATGACAACCATACCACCACGATTCTTCTCCACAATTAATTTCCCGGTCGCGTAACCTGTTACCGTTCAACCCTCAACCTCGACGACGTCGGTGGTTCTCGAGGTCAAGAATGTAAATGAAACTCCCCAGGAACAAGTATGCAGCGTCGCCAGAAAAAAAACAGGCTTGGTCTCCGCACCTGTATCTTTCTCCACGTGCAATCCATAATAGATTCACTTGCCACCGGCCGATAGGAACCTGTTTCTCACCCTCCACCCCCTTGTACACACGTCTATGTGCGCGTCGCGTTTAATCAGATTACGAGGGTGGTTCTAGTGCGCGAAGAAAACTCTCCTTTGTGGGTTGGGGCGGTCGCCAGGCACGGTTTTCAATTTTCGATGATTCCACCGAATTCGGTAACAGTGTTAGGGGGGCTAGAGAGTGTTGGCATCGTGTGCATCCATCCCCCCTTTACCATCCACCCCCCTGCTTGCGGTGGCTCTTCACGGAAGGTATGTATATAGGGTGGCTGCTGCCGGTTCGACGGGGGGCTTAAGATAGCGTGTGTGGGAGTGGGCGTGGCCTTGGGGTGGCCGCTGGCCAATCAGCTGCCGGGGGTTGCTGGCCACCCCCGACCCACGTGGTCCACATCCCCTAACATACATATTGATCTCGTGGTCCTTGCTCCCCCCCCCCTCGACCCTTTTCGCCCTCCGGCCACCCTAGCCAGCACCCATTCGCTTCTACCTCCCTCGTTCGTCCCTCTCGGTGTTTCACCCTACTTTGTTGGACACGTTGCTACCCCCAAGCTCCGTCCTCGTCACCCCCTCCCCCACACCACAGTTCCAGCCTCACCGACGTTCTCACCCCTCGTCGAGAGACCCCCGTCGACGGAGAAGGTCGAGCAGAGCCTGACCAACGTGCAAGGAAATTTCGAAAGTAAGCGGTGTCTGGTTTTTCGCCAGACTTTCCATCCAAGAAGGGGGGTGGGGGCGAGAACGACCGGGGGGTGACGCGCGGGATCTCGTTTCTGCGAGGAGGACACAGAACGGGGGAAATTTTATGCGAACGGGCGAACGGTAAATAGAAAGGATCCCCCGTTCGTTCTCGGGGGTTTTTTCGGGAAATTATTCGGACGAGTGGAATTTTTTGTTCTGTTGCGAACGGGGTGGATATGCTGGAATAGTGGACATGGAAAATTGTATATGTGGTGGAAATGAATGTTTGAGGAAAAAAATTTTGTAGTTAATGGAATGATATGTTTGTTAGTGATATATGTCTGGACTTATTTTTTGGATACAGTGGCGGACAAAGCAGTTATGACTTTTTTCGATTTGTTTCATTTTGATCATTTTTTAACGTGAATTTAAAACTTTAGTATGTGTTTAGTATATATTCTGATGGAGAAGTAAAAGCTGTATAAATTTTAGTATATTTAGGTTTTATGTTGTTGTTAAGAAATAAAAAAATTCAACAAATCGAGAAGGTGGTAACTTTTTTGTCCGCTAGTGTATGTGGTAATGAATTGTAGTGGCACTTTTTTCTCCATTTACTTATACTGGGCTAGACACATTCATTTTTTCTATGGAAAAGGAATGTTTTTTAAACATATGGCCCTTACACAGCCTTTTTAATGTCCAGTCTTGGATTGATTTTTTTAGGATTGTATTTGGTGGGCAAAATTTTGTAGGATGTTCATTGCGGGCAAACTGCACAAAATGGAGGCACAAGTTTGAATCACGAAGAGTGCGTTAGTGAAAGCAAAAGAGCTTATACATTGAGAAATATTGTAATACATTTATCTTGGAAAAGCGTGGAAATCGTCTGACTATTTCAAATTATTTATTGTCTTTCATTCGAAATGACAGATTACGGACTGATGAATTTAACGTTTATGATTATTTGGAAAGGAAATTATTTGCTATTGTTCGTTATAGATGAAATAAGAAAAATAAAGTCACATTCAAATTCATATAGACATAAAATTACATACATTTACTCAAAATGTTTGATTGGAAGAGGAAGTTTGCAAGTTGGAAAAATTAATGTTTGTAAAACTTTGAAAGAAATAAAGAAGTTTTTTTATTCATTCCACGGTGCTTCATTGTATTGCAAGACTTGGTAAGCCTCAAAGTTCTAGTTTTACGGTTTTATACGATGCTCTCGCGTTACAGTTGGGGGAGATTTCGTTTAGCACTTAGTAATTGAGAACCGTTGGCGGCTTAATGGCGCTATAAAGATTCAATTATTGTTCTATTTAAATCTCCCTCGATTAATTCAGGGGTTCTTAAGTCGACTAACCAACTTGCCCCGCATTCTTCTGCTTTGTAAACAACAACGTGAATTATCGAACTAAATTAGACGATGTTATTTATCATCAGCAGATGTTTTTCGCTGTTCCATTTAATATTACAGGATGCTTTTATTTATTTCTTGAAATTTTATAACTAAGAATTCGATGCTGTTGGGATATATTTTGATCTCCAGAATCGTCACATTGCGATAAGCTGGCAATAATCGTATGTACCTATGTTTTCTTTCAAGTAAAAAATTGTTATATCATCGACTTCTCAATCTCGAAATTGTTTTAATTAGAAATTTTACGTCAATAAATTGTAAAAACAATTGCAACCTATTTCAAACGATTCTATGTTACAAAAATGCAATCCTCTACAATATTATTCTACAAATATTATTTACAATAACGATAAATCATGTAAAAATTTTCAAAAATGTAATTCAACTTAACTCATCAATATCTCCCTTTCATTATAGTAAGTTTCACCTCCTTAATCTGACAAACACTACCAATCATCCCAAAGAATCCAACAGCCAAACTAGGCCACACTTCTATTTTCTCAAAAAAAAAAACAAACGAAACTCTACAAAATGTAATGGTTTAATCAAACCATAATTCAATTTCGTACTATAAAAACGACGAATCACGAGTTACGTTACGAAACGAATTCTAAAGGTCTTCGTCCTCGTGGTGCCCGAAAATGGCTGCTCGACAGAGAACTAAGACGCAGTTTTCCTCGGCCCACAGACAAATCCAGCCCTTCGATTTTCCTGAAACATTGATGAACGTCACGTTCGTTGTCAGGTTACCGGTGAAGTCGTACGTTTGCACGTTGGAACCGCGATTCCCCCTTTGCACATCCTCCGTTGTTCCGATCTCTCTCTATATTCGACGTCTTGCCGAACGGTGAAACAATCAATCCCGTCTAATGGAGCCAATTAATCGACCGGAAATAGCCGGCCAGCGGGGCATCGTTTCGGAATTGTCGTTCATCGTGTCCAAAAGAACCCGAGCCTCGTGCAACATTTATCGGATTTGATCCTTGCCCTGGAGGCATGTCGTTGTAACTGGCCTACTTGCGTCTTTCGAACGATGAATAAATTGTATCACGAGATCGAATAATGGCGTTGTAAAGATTCAGGTGATATGGTTTCGCATAGACAGTCTGTGAAAGTATTCCGAGAGACGACTGTGATCATTTTTTGGACGTAGAATTGACTTCGGAGATGAGTCTATTTATAGCGTGAAGTACTTATAAAATCTATAAGTTGCGATGTTTTAATGTAATGATACGTAAGAAGCTTTGAAACAGACTCCTGATTCTCTAGGGGGAAATTCTTATTAAT